AACAAGGAAATTTTGGCTTACTATAATCACAGGAAGTGCTTCAGCTTCAGACACGTCCTCCTTAATCACACTAGATTCACTTTCTTTCTAGAAAGCATCTTCAACCTTTTCAGTGGGTTTAACATCTGTATCATTATTATTTCTTTCAATGCCATCATCCCCTTTACCCTGAAAGAACAAATTATAGGTATGATTAAACAAGATAATTATAAATCAGACTTAGTATATAAATAAACGACCATTGACCACAACTAACATACATCTCCCACTTTCTCTTTCTCAAGTTTGGTTTCTCCTGCAGAACCCTGCATGATGAACATGCCACAACTTTAAACAATCAAAGAGAAAAAAAAAATGTATGTTCTGTCTTATGATCATTGTCCTTATGGGATCTAGGTTAATTGGATGTCTGAGGATAACATTTTGTTAAAGGCTCCATCACTTCATCACTAAGCAGCCTAAACCTTTTCTTCATTGACATCTCCAAGAAATAGCATTTATTTCAGTAATTAATTTAACATCTTACTTTTATTTCTTTCTATTAAGGTTTTGTAGAATTTTCAAAGTAGAATACTATAATAGGAAAAAAGTGAAGTGAAAGTATATAATAAATAAATAGATGAAAGTAGATTGGTGTATATAAAATATAATATACCTGAACAATTGAGAGAAGGGAGTCAAGGCCATCTAATGCAGAAGCACGCACAGGAACTCCAATGACATGTAAGGGTGTCAATGCAGCTACCATACCTAATCACAAATTTTGGAAAAAAAATGAAAAATAAAAAAAATTGAAATTGTTGTATTTGGAAGAAATAAAAGTAAAGTAGAGAATAAAACCTGGCAAATGGGCTGCACCCCCTACACCAACAATAATAACTTGGATGCCTCGTTCTCCAGCAGATGAAGCATAACAAAACATCAATTCACCTGTCTGTGTGTTGATACTATTCTAACCTGAATGATTAACTTTTTTTTCTTATTTAATTACCCAAGTATTGCTTTGTATTTGGATTTAAATGACTTTTAAAGTACAATGTTGTAATAAATAAATAACAGATAATAAAAGCCAAAAGATGAAGAAATAACAATACCTCCAGTAGTATCATCTTCTCCTTCATTAGTATTGAATTCCATATTGAAATCCAACTTCTCAAAATTATCATTTAGATCAATTTTAAAAAATAATTAAATATAATTAATAATTATCACATAATTTGACCTAATCTTTCTTTTCTTACAAGATAATTCAAATCAAAATACAAATAATTAATCTTTATCTTATAAAACAAGTAATTAACTTAAATTGACAATTATCCATTAATTTAATTAGGATATCAATTACCATAACAGAAAAATCTGATTTTAATTTGGAAAAACAATTTATGGTAATTATCTAAATCAAATTAGGGGCAAAATTTTCGAAATCTGTTGTCAGACTGAGCTCACGTCGTGAGCACTGTGCTCATGTCGTGAGCCTGGTTCAATTACGAAAAACGAAAATTTCCAGCTTTGAAAAACATAACTCTTGCATCATATAACAGCAAAACTACCCTAAGCTCTGATACCACTGATGGGTTTTGAGCAGAACACCAATCATGTGGTGTACATGCAACCCTAATGCTTTGGATCTAGGTTTTCCTCAAGTTACACATGCAAACAATCTTCCAAAGCATAAACCCTAATCTAACATGTCTAAGAACGAAATTCATATGTAAATAAGGGTTTGGAATCTTACCTTACTTGTTATGTAGCAATAACAAGAACACCTTGAATATCCTTGACCTCTGAAAGCTTAGTGCCCCAAGTATTGCACCTCTAATAGAGTCACAAACACTCTTGCAACAAGATGACTTAGGAGAGGGGAGGAAATTTGGTTAGGTCAACTTCAAGAAGCATAGGCCGAATTCCTTAGACTAGAGGGGTTTATATAGCCGAGGGCTGCTAGGGTTTTCAGGTGGAAACCCTAATACCTGACTTAGGCAACAAGCAACCCATGAACTCTTTTCCTTAGAGCCCATGGACGAAATCTATAAGGCTCCCTTATAGAAATTCGTCCACTCCACTCTATAGAGTCCATCAACCCATTTATGCAACTATCAATGATTTGCATAACAGTCCCTCAATCATCTAATCAGTCTCTTTTGACCACTAAATTAATTCCTGATCAATACTAATTAAATAATATGATTTCCAAATAATATATTAATCTTGTAATATATTAATTAAACCATTTTTTAGTATGAATTTATTATTCATATAATAAATTCTACTCTCTCTCCTCTCGTCATCCTATCAAGTTGCATGAGTGAAGGCAACCCAAAAGGATCATGCTCATAATCGGGTCAAGTACATACCAAAATAGTTATGGGCTTAGACACCTAATCCAACACTAGCATCCTAACATAGCATAATCATGGGTCGGCATTGGTGCCTTCGACCCGCTAACTACATGTAACACCGTAAATTCTCAAACAAAATTTTCATTTTAAAATCACATAATTCTCATTAACACATTTCACAAGAACCCCCAAAGTGTCAAATTATCAAAAACACAAATCCATAATTGTTTGAATAAAAATCCAGGATTCTCAAAAACATAACTCCATCTCGTGTGTACAATCAAGATGGTGCCTTCCCGCGATCCTGAGAAGTACCTGAAACACATATCACATAATGCGGTAAGCACTTAATTTAATCATCTTCTAACAAGGTATACAAAACAAATTTGAATAAAGAGGAATCTTAACTGCTTGTTCGTATATCTGAGTAGTATGCTTTTGACGCGTAAGCCATCCTTCCAATTTATTGATTCGATGAAAACCGAAACAAAAACAACTTCAATAGCTCCCAATGTATAGAGTCTTATTTCTCATTGATAGAAGTGAAATTATCAAACTAAATTTAATTTTCTGAATTAGTTATGGGTAACAATTTGGAGGTTGTTCTTGGTTAAATCTTCGAACAAGTTCTTTGTATAATTTCCGAACTTGTTCTTGGCAAGTATTTCGGACTCCGCGCGTAGAAGATTTTCGAACAAAATGATATAAACACAATATTTTATTTCCAATGTCAAACCTAAAAATTGACCTTTAGATAAGAAATCGTATTTTAGTATTTCGAAAATAAAGCTACTTTTTCCTTTTTCGAAAATCATGGTTAGTTTATGACATTTCATTTGAGGTTGTCATGATATAACATTTTGTTAGAAAAATGTCATCGGTGTCAATAACTTAGTTTTATGTGTCCAGTTGATACGTTGTTTTTGTTTGTTCCTTTTTATTACTTTTAGAAATAAATTTCATTATATATAAGGGTAATTACACGAATGGTCCCTATGGTTTGGGACAGTCTGGGTGGTTGGTCCCTTTAAAGAATTTTTAACTTGGACCATCCCTATTGTATGTTTTTGTTGCGCTTTTGGTCGCTGATAGACATAAAATGCCAAGATTATCCTTATTATATATATATATATATATATATATATATATATATATTATGTACTATTTATCTATTATTATAAATTATAAATAAAACATAAATCAAAACAAATTAAAAAAATAAGTTAAATAAAATAAGAAAATGTATACAATCACCATCTTCCCTTCATCCCCTATTCCTCTTCACGTCCATTTCTTCTTCCCAACTACATCTTTTCGTCTTCTTTAAACTCAAGAACCCTAATGGATCACCAAACCCACCGTCGCCGGACACCACTTCCAAGTTGCCACCACCGGCCGAAAACCTCAACAAAGCCACCGACCATGCCTCACCACATTTATACTCTTTCTAAGCACCTCTAAAGCATCCATCAAGTGATATCAGAGCGTTAATCTACGCTCTAGAGCCATCGTCGACTATGGTCATCCTCCACCACATGTCTACGATGTCTATTTCGCCGGAAACCACTCTAAAGTCGCCATCAATCCTGATTTTCACTCCAAATACGCAATATTTCTATGAAACGACCATAATTTTGTTTAAAAAAATTGATTGCAGATTGGAAACGACCACTAGCTCTCTCTTTCTCTCTCTCTCTCTCTCTCTCTCTCTTTGTGTGTGTGTGTGTGTTTATCTTTCTTTCTCTTTCTCCCCTCCCCCTCTCTCTATGTGTGTGTCTCCCTATCCCATAGACTCGATGAGATCCTTACCCACTGCTATTGGAAACATTCATAGGAAGGGTTGACAGAGAACCGATGGCTTGAGAGCACCATGAAAAGCTTCAAATGTGATCTGCTTCATTAATCGTTTTAGATGGGGTTTCATCATGAAAGTGTTGGGGTTTCAACATTTTAATTCTGATTTTGAATTCTAATTTTTGGGTTTCATTTGATTTCAATTTCTGATTTCTAGTTCTGTTTTAATGTCTTTGTCGCTTACCTAGACTCAAATTTTAAAAGAACAATGAAAAGAAGAACCAGATCTCCTTAGATCTATGGTTTTTTGTTTTGAAAATTATTTATCGGATCTATGGTTTTGTTTGTATCTAGTTTGGATCTATGATTTTTGTTTTGTTTCTAGGGTTCTTATTCGTAGCGGTGGTAGTGACCGGAGATTAGTGGCGGTGGTGGCCAGAAATGGTTTCCGATGACCGGACATAAGGAGGGGAGGAGGGTTGGGGGTAGGGATGGGTCACATTTTAATTTATTTTATTGTTTAAATAAATAATAAATAATAAATAAAAATTTAATTAAAAAAGAAATGGATGATGGTAAATTAGTTTTTTTAGAATGAAAGGGACCAAGCGTACAACAAAAATATAAAGTAGAGACGGTCCGAGTTAAAAAGAGTTAACACGCAGATTACCCTAAACCACATGGACCATTCGTCCCTATATGTAATTATACAAAGTGTATATTATTAAATACATTAATTTAATTAATTTGAATAATAAGATTTAAGATTCATAAAATTATAAATATTTAAAATTCATTTCGGCTTACTATTGAGTCGTTGACTTGATAGTCCCATTAAAAACATAACTCGAAGAAACAATTTATTAAATCAATGAAAAAAAAGCCACCATGTGTGTGTTTATGTGTAAAGTTACTCAAGAAAAAGGCCAAGATTCTAATTCAAGACTTTAATGGCAAACATGTTACGAATATTCTATTAATTTACATTAAAAAAAAGAATATTTTTACCATAAAAGTTTTAAATTACATTAATTATAATAAATCTTTTTTATTTTATTAATATATACTTTTTAATAACCAAAGTAAACCCTGCCCAAAGGGCATTCCTTTCTTCATCGTCTATATACTTTGCTTACAAGCTTGGAATCCCTACACCTCTCTCTATATCCTCTCCTTTGTAGCAACCTTTCAAAAGTCGTTATTATTTTCATTTTTAGAAACAAAAAACAGTATAAAAAAAGCAAAATGTCGACTTACACTTACTTATCGAATGACAATGACAACGGAGCACGAAGAATGAGGTTGTTTGGCCGCGAGAGGCCAATCTATGAAATACTCGGAGGTGGAAAAGGTATGATATGTGAAATAAATGTAAGCAATAATGATATGAATATTTTTTTTCATTATTTCAATCATTTGGTGTACTAGAGGGATCTCCCATAGCCACTGATAGGTTTAAAATTATTTAGTAGTTAAAATGCTCTAATCTAACTCCAAATACAGAGTAATCACAAGATTACATAAAAAAGGAGTACTAATGTTCCTTAACTTTATGTTTTTGCATTAAAATAGAGTTACTGCAAAAATGGAGTAAGAAACATCTTTTGTAAATGGTGTTATGTTTAGTGATGATCTAAGAAACAAAAATTTTGAATTATCAGCTGCAAATATTTTATTATGGAGAGACAAAGCGGTATCAGGTGCGGTTTTTATGGGGGTCATGGCATTATGGTTTCTTTTTGAGGTTGCGGAGTATAACCTTGTGACATTTCTTTGTCACTTGACCATCACTGTCATGCTTGTTATATTTATTTGGTCGAATGGAGCCAAAGCCTTCAAATGGTAAGATCTAGTTCTATGAAATTGATATAAGTGAATATAACGCCAAATTTTATAAAACTCATGTAGTTTGATTTTTTGGTTAAAAATTAAAATAGTATTTTTTTTAACACTGAGTTTTTTTTTTTTTTTTTTCCTAAAAGAATACTATACAAGACTTTAAATTTTATAGAAACCATTATAGTTTGGAATTTGTTCAATTTAAGCATTTGGATTTTTTTAATGATTTAGTTAATTATTAAAATGATGAAATTTTAAATAATAATAATAATAATAATGACAAGACCAGTATTCTTCCGATTGTAATTTTCAATTTACTACAGCTTTTATGCAAAGAGAAAAAAAATACAAAAAAAAAAAAAATTCTAAGTGGTAAAAAACATAAAAATTTGGTAGTGGTTAAATAAAAACTACAATAGTTTTTATGTTGTTTAACAAGTTTGGAATTATGTGTTACAGGACTCCTCCCGAAATCCCCAAGTTCCTATTGGAGGAATCTATGTTATGCAAAGATATATGTGAAAAACTCAACGTCTTCTTGTCGTGGCTTATCAACATTGCTTGTGGAAACGACATTAAACTCTTTTGTTTGGTAATACTTTGAAGGTTACGTGTGCAATTATATTCTCGTTTCATGTTGAAAAGTTATATAGACCGTTTTTTGTTTCTCAGTAAGTATTAATTGTTTGAATACGAGAAACCTTTTGCAACATATTGCCAAAAGGAGATCCGAATGTCTTATCAATTTCAGTATTCATATGTTGGATTCCTTAATTTATGTTTGATCAGGTGATTCTCGTTGTTTCAATGCTTTCAACGATTGGGAAATACATCACCGCATCAAATCTTCTGTTCATTGGTAAACAAACTTTGTTTATAACTTGCTTTTAGTACCTTTCTATATTATATTATGTATAGAAATTGTTTTACAATTATTACACCCCTTCGAATAAATATAAGGTTAAATATAAATATCAACATAGATATTCCAGGTATTGTGTACAAACAATTTCCCGAATCTGTAACTTCTACCTAATTGTCTAGAGTTACACCAAATCATAATTGGAATGATCCGGGAAAAATTACGATCTGGATTTCAGACAAAATCAGATATAGTAAACACAAAATACATGTTTGTTATGTGTCAATTCGAAACAATAATTGCAAAGAAAACATAGAAGAAAAGTATTTGTCTTCCAAAGTCCAAACTGAAATCATATAGATATAAGAAAACTGATAGTTGAAATAGAGGGCTAAATGCGTCTTTTAGGAATTGCCGTCTCAAATCCCCAGTGTTTCGAAGATCAATTTTTACAAGTATACACTATCTACCTACAAGTTTATAATATACTAGACGAATCCCCGCGCGTTGCGCGAGAATAAAATTATATAGTTAAAATAATAACTTTTACCAAATTCTTATTTAATATTTCTACTTTAAAACAAAATGTTAGTAGTAAAGCAAACATATAGTTAACATATTAGTTTT